ATATGAAGAGTTTATTTGCAAAAACAGATAACTCCGTTTTTTGACATTTTCAAAAATCATGTTTTTTATTATGCAATCATGTTTTTATTGTGTTTTATTGTGTTAGTTAGCTGTAATTATTAGTTATTTTTTTACCTAGTCAAAATAACCCAACTGCAGTTTGAGATGAATTGGAATGCACAATGAAAAAACATGATTTCTGAGAATTATCTGTTTTTGCAAATAAACTCTTCATATGTATTGAAATACAATTAATATACTAATATGCAGTGCTACATAGGCCTAGGTAAAAGAGGGATACAATTCTAAAAATGTGTCGGTGAGCATAAAAAGCAGTGTGATGTTTATTTATTCAAATAATGTTTTACTATGGCATGCGTTAAATACATATTATATGCAATAAAGGTCATAAAAAACAACAATGCCATTCATTTGTCAGGCCCCGTCACACAGGGTCGGCCATTTTAAACTGCCATTGCTCCGCCTGCTAGCATGCTAGCATAACAACTGTTAACATGCAATCAAGGAATTCAGTAACTTTTTTAGACATGTTTTGGATTTTTAAAAAATCATTATTTTCTGGGATGTTTTACCGTGACAGGGCCTGACCCTTTAGCTCGTCCTCCTCAAACAAACATACAAAAACAAGCTTAAAATAAAAAAAATAGAATTTATTTGTAGAATTTATGTATAATTTCATGTTTTTAATCAGTTGGTGTGAATGATAACAACTTAAACTTGTTATTGATGGAGTTTTTTTCCTAAATAACAGTTTTTAGCATAACAAAACTATGAAAGCTGTAGGTCCAGTTTGGCTGGGGACAAGGACAAGGACAGGATTTGTAATTTTCAAGTGTTTTTAATAAATTAAAAAATATCTGAGAACCTAATGAATGACATATTCCTTTACAGAACAACTCACAGAATCAACCATCAGTCAGTTTTAGACATTTTTTGGATGTGATACTTTTTATTCACTGTAACAAATCAAGGACAGATAATGTACATTTCTGGTAGAATGTCCTTTAAATGAGTTTGAATGGGTTAGAAATAGTTCATAGAAGGGAAGTCTGATTGAGTCTAACGGGCTTCAGTGTGTTTAGATTTGAATTTTTGACAGTTGGGAGTTTGAATAGTGTTGGCTCATCTGAACATTCCGTCAATGCAAGTCTATGGGATTTTTTATGATTTTTAATATTCAGTTTTAAGAAAACCGTAAATCCGATCAGTCTGAAAAGATAAAGCAACCTGAGTCAGATCAGTCTGAAGAGCTGGGCTGAGTTTGGTGCTTCTAGCTTGAAAGCTCTAGGAGGAGGAGTGTTCAGAAATTTAGTCGAAGAAGAAGAAGCCAACTTAATTACTGAACATATATTTAAAACAATGAAATAAAATAAATAAATATACATCGTCTTTATACTTGCCTCAGTGGAGAGAAAGTAAGATTTGTATTTTATTCATTTTCATTGGCTCGCCATTGGCCCGTATAAGGAGTCAAACTCACTGATTGCACGCGCCGCGTGTCTATCAAAAGTGCGCCAGTTGGACAGGCGTCATCAGACGCGGAGACGCTCCGTCCGCGCAGTGATTGGATGACACGGCTGTCCGTCTACCGTTTCTGGTCTGCGATTGGCTGAGAGTGTCAGAGGGCGGGGACGTTTGTGTGCGGTCAGTGAAGAGCGCAGGGCGGATCAGCGTGAGGCCGCGACACCGACACACGCGCGGAAAACTCGGAAATCAACAGAAACGGTGAGAATAAACTTATTAAAGTGTGTTAACTCGACTTTATGAGTAAGTTGATTCGTAGAAAGAGTGGCGCGGGGATTTGTGCGCGCTGAGGCGGTTCGCGTGGGTCAGTGACACTGCTGACTGAACCGTCTGTCTGCTCATTTATTTATTTATTTATTTGTCTGTCTGAGTCTGTTTCTGGGCGGCTGGTTTGACAGGCTAACCCTCTTGTGAAACTTGTGTACTTAAGTGTGTTAAAATCACTGATTTGACCTAACGATAATTCTGATCAGATTGATTGATTAGGATGATATTACTGTTGATCTCTCAGACCTGCTGCTGATTTCAGATCAGTTCAAGCATGAAACTCTTGTTTTTGGTTTTGTATGTGACCTGGTAGTTGTGTATTTGTTAGTAAAGTTGTCCTTGATTTTGTATGTGTGCCTGTCACTCAATATATGACATACTCATATATTGATATATTGACCAGGACTATTAATTATTCAGCATTTCCTATATTCCTATACATTTCCTGTATAATTCAGATGTATTTTTTTAGCAGAATAAGTTTCTGTGGATATCATAGCAAAGGGATCAGATGAGATAAGAACTGCTTTTTGTCCATCGGTTTGTCATAATTCATCTTTCTGTGGAGTTTGTTGTGTGTTTGAGCTGAATCGTATATGATCCATCCTGCTGAGGATTTAGATGTGACACAAGCATCAGAGGATTACAGGACACACACACACACACACACACACACAACCAGGCAACCTACATTTATACATGCTTCTTCATATTGGTATGGCATGCAATTTGTGCCACAAACTTGTCAACTGCTTTGTGCAATAAATTTATGTCTACTGTTACTGCCTTTGTTTTATTGGTGTTGTCTTCCTTTTCATGCATTCAGCTCAGTTTTATGCTTTATAAGTTTGTAAGTACACATTTTATAGATATCCAGATAAACATCTTGTACATTTAGACTTTTTTTAATACGGAGTTTTCTAATCATTTTAGATGCATTGTTCAATAAACGTGAATTAATCTATGGCCTGTAGGTTTCTTTTTTGTGCGTTGTCATAATATTCAGAGTAGAAAAATGTTAAGGACTTTTTATTGGGAAAAAAAACATTTTGATTGAGAAACTATCAAACAGTCTTTCCATGTCGCATCAGTCTAATTTGTCTTCTGCCTAGTGACAGATTAATTTGCACTTACATACAGAGTTTGATTTAACACATGCCAGATATTTAAGATACAGGAAGAGCATTTCCTTCCTTTTATAAAAGTAGTGATTTTGCTATCCTAGTTATGCATGATTACATGATTAGTAGCATTTTATTATTTGAATTTAGCATTGATTTTCCCCTCCTGCAGCCCAACCAGAACAGACCTGTGTCCCATGATTTAGTAAGCACTATTATGCACTATTACATTTCTCTCTATCTGTATTCATAAACTAAAATCTTGGATGGCCTGAGGGTGAGCTCATTTTCAGCAAGTTGTCATTTTTGGGTGATCTATTCTTTTAATGTACCTTGATCTAATATGGTCTGACAGTGAGCAGTTGCATTTTTATTATGTTAACAAAGATTAATGCATGCTGCAACAAATGTATTGCTTATTATTACTTAATCTTAGTCAATGCACTAACTAATGGGACCTCATTGTAACGTTTTGCCTCTGTCATGTAACAGAGCGCAGGCCGTTTGTCATTTAAATGAGTCGAGAGATCAGCCAATGTTGAGTTACACTTCACAGGTGAGCTTTATGAATGAATTTGCATCGTTTATGAATGACTTACTTGAATGTTTTTGCTCGAATTACTTGCAGCCTGGTCAGTTATTAGGTCAGCTAACTGGACTCATCCGGTTTTGTTAGTTTATTGCTTCTGCTAAAGTTTCCTTGCGTGATTCATGGGTATTTCAGCATTAGGTTTTATAATTTACACACTGATATAGCTCATAACTGTGTCTGTGTCATACTCGTAACCTGCATGAGGAAGTGAAAGAAAGATTTTTTTTTTATATGAGATACAGTTGTAGGAGCTTCATGTGTGTGTCTGTGTGTCTGTGTGTCTGTGTGCTTCTGCTCCAGTGAAGGTGTAAATAAAACTGTGTGTGTGTGAGGATCGCTGAGTCACAAAAGCACCCCCACTCTTCCTGACGGATTCAGAGAGAGAAACCGAATCAATGGCTGTTGGCGTGTATGTAATTGGAGAGACTGATCCGCCAGCATGTTATGTAAACGGTGTGGGTCATTCGTGTGTCTTGCTAATGCTTATATACAAGAAAAACACATTAAAATGATTTCTGAAGAATCGTGTGACACTGAAGACTGGTAATGATGCTGAAAATTCAGCTTTGCATCAAAGGACAAACAGTTCTTTTAAATTGTAATAATTTCTCACAATATTATTGTTTTTAGTGGAATTATGATCAAATAAATGCAGCCTTGGTGAGCAGAAGAGTCTTCAATGTAAACGTCTTAATAGATGTTCATTTGGCTCAGTTTCTTGCATTTCTTTGTGGGTTTTATATAGCTTCATCTTCAGCTGTTGGTGTGGTTCTTTGTTTCCATGGCATTATGGGTGGAGCTAAGGAGTGTCTCATGAATAATGTATTAGTAAAGTGTTTTTCTGACAGCCCAGAAATACACGGCTCATTTCACCAACCAGCATTATCCAGCATTTCAAATGATTGAAACTGGTTATAGTTGTGAAAATTTGTTTGTTTGTTTGTCTGAATGTTGGAACACAGGTTAGTCCTTTTAGTTTCCCTTAACTCACAGTTAAAATAAAATAAAATAATAAATAAATTAATTAATTAAAAATCCAAGTGGTAAATAAAACAAAGATCATTGGAGTATGTTTTACAAGAAAATTCATATGAAAATGTCATGTTAAATTAATGTTACTTGCTGTTTCTTTGTAATTGTTTGTGAAATTCACTAGCATGAATGAAATTTTTTTTGTAATATATTTTGCATATTTTATGTTATAGTTGTTTTTATTTGTTTATTTATTTATTTTTGAGTGTATGGTTCCATGTAAATTTGTTATTTTCCTTTTGCCTGCGTGACCATGTGCTTCAACAGATATTGTTTGTTTATTTTTTTGTCCCCCTAAATATTCAAAGCACATAATAGCAGGGCTTATTTTATTATATATTTATGCTTTTGTTTGTATATTTTTTTAAGTATTAACTTATTTTGTGTTATACATTTATAATGTTAATAATAAATAGTTATTAATATTAGTTTGATTGGATTTTTTTTCTCAAAAACAATAACATTGTACTGTATTTATTCACAATTCTGTTAATTATATGAGCATATTTGGGCATAAAAAAAAAATGTTTTTTTATTTACATTTTTTTTCTTTTGTGGATGCATCCCTATTTTCTTAAAGAGCTTGCCAGTTCCTTCTGTGGATAAATATAATAATTGTGCATGCTTGTTTGTGCACATTTATGTTCAGGTAGCGTCATGTTGAATAAATGTGATAGATTAGTGCACATGAAGACCCTGGTGATCTGTAATCTCTGACGGCCCGCAGCGGGACGATCTCAGAGCTTTCCGCACAATCATCCGCTGGGAAATCTCCAAAATCACCATTATCAAGCCAGTCAGAGAGGAGAGAGAGATTTGAGACAGACGTAATGAACAGAAAACATGACTGAGTGAAGAGAAATGAGGAATCGTAGCTGCCAGTCCTAATTTAGCTTCCAGACTGAAGTTAATGAGAACTGTTGTCAGGACTGACTTCAATGCAACAGTCATTTAATAGTAACCACAAAGTCTGCAACTGGTTGCAACAAACCCCTTAATTTAAGAAAAACCTTAGTGATAATACCCTTACAATTATAACTAAAGGTTGTCTTAACTTTAAGTATTTGTTGTAAATGGACCCTGGTCATTTTTTGCTGTTTATTCCAACCATTTAGACAGAAAGGACTCATCTGATGATTATGTAAAATGAGCAGTTTCTATTTATCTGGTACTTAGTGTCTCAAACAGATCTTTAAAAGATAATAAGCTTGATGAACTATGAAACATGCAGGTTCATAAGGAGTCGGCACAGCAGTGTTATTCATATTCCGTTGAAGATTGTACTGTGTGTTTATCATTGCATCAAAAAACTCACTGATCTCTGCTTTACTTTCACCTTCCTACCAGATGAACCTGTCGGACGACACCAAAGATAAAACGAGTCGTTAAGCACATCCATTCTGATTCACTCTGAGTGGTCCAGCCAAACAAACAAACAAATCAAAACAGCATGATATGAGTGTTTAAATGCAGGGGATTGTGGGAATCTGTGTAAGTATAGCATTAATGAAATAGTATTTGTCTTGTAAACCATACTCTGAAAATCTGTTATATTTACAAAAAAGGAAAACTTGAAATCGCATCATATGACCCCTTTAAAACAATTTTCACTTGGAAATTTGACAAATAATTACAAAGAAATGCAGAGTAACACATCGAATTAAGTAGAAAGACAGAAATAGTATTTTCTTGTAAAACTTAATTGCAATGGTCTTGTAATATTTACAACTTCTAAAATAAATAAATAAATAATAAAAAATTAATAAATAGGTAGGCCTGTCACGATAACAACTTTTTGTTGTGCGATATATTGCCCCAGAAATAATTGCGATAAGCGATATTATTGTCATTTTTAAAGACCATTTTATGCCACTTAACATATAATCATAATGTAACGGCATAATAATGCAAGAAGGCCTACACACTTCCAAATGACAACAAACTTTAAATTTTTTATAATATATAGATCGTGGAAATTAAATATTGAAATATTAGATACCTTAAAAAACCTGAATAAATG